GTTAAGAAACGGGGGACTAATCAATCAGTATATTTCTGACAATTTTTCTCTTATAATAATTAACGTCATTAAGTTGAAAAAACGAAGAAAAAACTGACGCGGATAAATTCTTTAAAAATTGACAAAGACACGTAGAGGAAAGTACCCAAACCCGGGCCCCCATTTTGTTTTCGCTTATTTTTAATCCTATTTTCTGCACAATTAAATCCAAATATTTGCAAAGTATACCTTAGTTATACAAATGTTATTTTCAAGTTAAAATTAGTGGCCAGGTAGTTTAATAATAAATTATTCTTTTCGTAAACATTACATTTTGTGGATTTCTAAAAAAGGTTTCCTAATGTGAGCCCCCCGCCAACATTTTAAGAAATAGGTAAAAATAAAGGAAAAACTGAAAATATATAGAATATTCAGTATAATTTTACAAAAATACTAGTTTAACATCTTATACACAGAAAATTATCTTGTATGTCTTGCACATAGTCAATATATTCAAGTGCAACAAAAGTTTTATATAAAATCATCTTTTTCGGCCACCGTACATTCTTCAGGAGCCCAGACTGTACACACTAAGCACATCGCCCATAGTTCTCCCATTAATCTCTGAAACTTTTACACTGGAAAATATGCAGTCTGCAGCTCCTTCACCTGGGAGGGAAGATATCCCTGGTGGAACCTCCAATTCGGAAGAGCCAGAGGTGTTGAATTCCTCGCAGGAGGAGGAATCTTCCTTTCGCTTTTTGTTTAACTTCAGAATGTTCTTATATATATATATATATATATATATATATAGATATATAGATATATAGATATAGATATAGATATAGATATAGATATAGATATAGATAGATAGATAGATAGATAGATAGATAGATAGAGAGAGAGAGAGAGAGAGAGAGAGAGAGAGAGAGAGAGAGAGAGAAAGAAAGAGTGATTAAATTCTGAAATTGGCTCTTGACCTCTTCCTTATTCCTCCCATCTAAAACTGATAGACTTCAGAGTAGTCTCTCACATTTTTACTAAGGTATAACGAGTCTCCTAAGGTATAACGAGTGACAAATACCTTAATTGTTTTTATTTTGAAGGACGAAATATTACGAGCCCGCGTTAGGAATCTTTGGGAGCTCGGGTTAGGCACCAGCGTGTATGTATTCCAATTGCTAAAACATCTTTACAAGGCAAGTAAAATAAAATACAGTACCCTACTTCAATAGCTTGTAACGACCCCCTTCAAAATAAAGTAATGGTTAGAAAACTTACCGATGAAGTAGCTAAATCAGCAAATTGAGAATAAGCAATTGAAAAAAAGTTGGTTATCACTGTTCGTACTAATGGCCGACTGACCGGCAACAAGTGAAGATGACACTACCGTTTGACTGAGATGCAGTCTTTCAAAGAACTACTATTTTAGTACATTTCTAATACACAACAGCACTACAGAGCTGTAAGTCAAGGGGCTCGCATTAGGAACCGGGCCCAGGTTTGGGTACATTCCTCTATTGTGTTTTAGAAAACCCATATTGTGAGTCACCAGAATCAGAAATGTGGATAGACGTAGTTTCTATATGTAGTAAATTTCATCTAATACGTTGTGTACTTAGAATCCACGTTTTGTGAGACCTTCATTCTGTAAAATAGGTTAACGGCAAAACGTCTGTCTGTCCATCTGTGGTCATTACTAGTACCTGAACCATTCAGACGTTAGCGCCTAAACCGTCCATTTTATCCAAAATTGATATTCCTCGATCGATCTAGACCACGGGTTCCCAACAGAGTCGGTATAGACCCCCTGGGTGTTGATGACATTTAAAAGGGGTCACTGATGATCAAGGAGTGAATTGATAGTCAATAGTCGAATTAGAACTGCGAATGATTGATCAAGGTTCCATTTATTAGAAAAATAAATTTAAGATGGTATGTTCGCGCCAGTTGCTAGTCAAACGCTCAACCATTTATTACATCTGTGAATTAACAATAGCTGCTTGAAAAACGTAAAAAGGGCATTTAAATAATTATTTGTAAATATTCAAAAGAGAAGTATTGATTATTTACGTAGGTTAGGTTGACTTCAGCGCCCGTATTTTTCTTTTCTTTTCTTTTCTTTTTTTTTTTATTTCGTTAAATAGTAGTTCACATTGCTGACAGTGCAAGTTAATTATCGTTAAATAGTGTGTGGCATAAAATGTTAAGTTCGGGTGGTTTTCATTCGTACCCGAAAAGAAACAGGGCATCATTTCTAAAACACAACTAGGCCGAGAGCCAGAACTTCCCATTGCGGTGGATACCGCGGCAGTTTATTAAAATACTCTTCAGAATGTCCGGTGACGCATGTTACAATTAATATCAGACAATATATCTAACAGAAAATTACAAATTATTTTATATCTTAACCATAGTTCATTTTAAGGATGTTTGGAAAACTCAAAGAATGTAACTATGTATTCGCAATGTTACATTAACGTGCAGGAAAAGAGAGTTTCTAAGGTTCAAGTCTCGACAG